GTTCTGTCAGCGGGTGTGAGTGGTGGCTGCCCTGATCGCCCCTCAGGAGCAGGGGAAGGTGGAGAAGCCCTCAGGGGCAATTGGGGCCGGCAGCCGCTGCTCGCACCCGCTGATGGTGCTGAGCAATTGGGGCCAGCGCTGGGCGCCAGCAGCGGGTGTGAGTGGCAGCTCTGGTGCTGGCCATGGGTGTGAGAGGGGCCAGTGTGGGCAGCAGGTGTGAGCTCTGGGTGGAACCATGGTGTGCGGGAGCAAAGAATTTTCAATAATCACCAGAGGCTCGCCCCGATGACAGCAACTGGTGCCTCGCCTTGGTTTGGCGCCCCCACTCACTTGCTCCACCATCCCGCTGCAGCCAACGCCAGCCATGTTCCGCGCTTGCCCCCTGGTGGTCAGCGCACGTCATAGCGACCAGTTGTTCGGTTGTTCAGTTTTTCTACTGTTCAGTCTATTTGCATATTAGGGTTTTATATATAGATGCTCAAAGTCACTAATCATCCAAGAGATGCAAATCAAAACGACAATGAGGTAACATCTCATACCTGTCAGATGGCTACCATCAACAAATCAACAAATGACAAGTGCTGTTGAGGACATGGAGAAAAAGGAACCCTCATGCACTGCTGGTGGGAATGCAGACTGGTGCAGCCACTGTGGAAGACAGTATGGAGTTTCCTCACAAAATTAAAAATGGAACTCCCATTTGACCCAGTAATCCCACTTCTAGTAATATATCCCCCAAAATCAGAAATACCAATCAGAAAGGATATATGCACCCCTATGTTCATAGCAGCATAATTTACAAAACCTAAGATTTGGAAACAGCCTAAGTGCCCATCTGCAGATGAGTGGATTAAAAAACTGAGGTACATCTACACAATGGAATACTACACTGCTGTAAAAAAGAAGGAACTCTTACCATTTGCAACAGTATGGATGGACCTGGAGAGCATTATGCTAGGCAAAATAAGCCAGTCGGAGAAAGGTAAGTATCACATGATCTCACTCATTTGTGGAATATAATGAACAACATAAACTGATGAACAAAAATAGATCCAGAGACATAGAAGCATTGAACAGACCATCCAACCTCAGAGGGAAGGCAGAGGAGGAGAGCAGTAAGAGCTCAACCAAAGAACTTGTATGCATGCATATGAGCATAACCAATGGACACAGATAGTAGCGGGGTGCGGGCATGTGTATGTATGTATATATATATTTTGAGGAAAACTCACTTTAGCCAGAATTTTGTCATGTCTCTATATAAATCAATCACTATCCAGAGAAATGGGACCATTATGTGAAGCTCAGATCATATAAGAGCCATTCCCTGGGATCAGACATGGTGCTGGTCCCCAAAACACATGGCTCTAGAGAGGATACAGGAAAGTGGGGACTTGCACAACCTGTGTTGGGGTGAGGAACATGAAAGGAGAACCTCACCCTCCTTAGCACACAGAACTAAGTGGAACCAGCTGGGGATTTCCCAATGCCAGTGGTTCTCAAAGTGTTGTATCTGCGCCAGCAGCATGAGCATTACCTAGAAACTTTTTAGCATTGAAAGTCTTCAGGTTGCACCCAGACCTATTGAATCAAACTCTGGGGGTAGTACCCAGGAATCTGTTTGAACAAGCCTTCCAGGAATTTCTGATGCACCCTAAAGTTTGAGAACCAATGTCCTATTCAAGTGATTCTCAATTGGGAGCAATTTTGTCCCCATGGGACACTTGACAATGTTCGAGACATTTTGGATGTCACAACTTGAATGTGGAGTGCTACTGGCATGCAGTGTAGAGGTCAGGACAATACACAGACACTCCTCACAACAAAGAAGTGTCCGGCCCAAAATGTCAACAGTGCCTGTGTTGAGAAACCCTGTCCTCTGCTATGAGGCACAGCAAGCTCCTTTAGAGCGGCTGCAGCCACCTGGCTCTCCATATTGGATTCAGCTCTTTGAACTTAGTTGGGACAAGGATTAGCATGTTTTAACCACTCACAGAGCAGGAGAGAGTCTGACCAACTCTTCTAAGTAACAAGTCTTCAGGCCTTCAAGTCAGCCAGACCAGTCCCAGGGGTCTCACTTAGGTATTTATCTCTGACAAAGCAATAAACATGACAATGTTTGAAAAAAAAAAAAAAAAAAGAACATCCTATATAATAAAAGCCTAATATGCAAATTGTCCCCTCGGATGGTCGTTTGACCAGGAGTTCGACTGCTCGCTATGACATGCGCTGACCAACAGGGGGCAGTGCGAAACATGGCGGGCGTCAGCGACACGGCACTGGCAATGGGTGGCAGTGGAGGAGCTGCTGGCCCCAATGGGCCCCGATGAGAGCAGGACCGCGGCGGGATGGTGGAGCAGGTGAGCGGGTGGTGCCAGGTCAAGGCAGGTGCAAGCAGGGGCCTGATCGCCTCACCAATTGCCCTGCAGACAGCGACCAGTTGCAGCAGCAGGGGGCGGGGCCACTGCCTTGCTCCCAGGCGCTGAGGCAGCCAGGCGGGGAGCCCGAACCTGATCCATCGCCCCGCAGGCGGGATGGTGGAGCAGGTGAAGGGGCAGCACCAGACCACAGCAGGGTGCCAGGCAGGGTGCCAGGCGGGGCTGCAAGGCTGGGGGCGCGAACTGGGGCCCGATCTCCGCAGGCCACTCCGAGGGGCTCCACCAATGCATGAATTTGTGCACCAGGCCTCTAGTATTTTATAAGAGGCACAGTCAATACATGCATTGAAGTTTCAGAACTGGCCTGTAAGCAGGCCCAATTCCTCTCTTAGAAGACTGATAGGCAAACTTTTTCCATGCTTAGAAATTTTTCTGTTCAATCAAAATGAGTGAGTCTCTACTGCCTGAGGGTCAGAAAATGGAGATCAAACATCCAAGTTCTAATCTACGTTTCCTATACAAGATGCAGACAAGAAACCTTGCATCTCTGTGCGTATGAGAGTTTAACGTTAGAGGAAAGTAGCAAAGGCCCAATCAGTTCAGATCAGACCCATCACATATCTATTTTCAAATGTCTTACAGTGCAGCTTGTTCTACCATGACATCGTCTGGCACTTATCCTATATAACAAAAGTCTAACATGCTAAGTGTCCAACTGTTCGTTCAACCGTTCAACCAATCGCTATGACGTGCACTGACCACCAGGGGGCAGACACTCCGACTGGTAGGTTAGCTTGCTGCTGGGGTCTGGCCAATCGGGACTGGGTGAGATGGGCCGGACACCCCCTGGAGCCTTCCCGCAGTCCCTCCCGGGCCCCCTTCGTGCACCAGTGGGGTCCCTTGGCCTGGCCTGCACCTTCTCACAATCTGGGACCCATCGGGGGATATTGGAGAGCCAGTTTTGGCCTGATCCCTGCAGGCCAGGCTGAGGGACCCCACCGGTGCACGAATTCGTGCACCAGGCCTCTAGTCTATATATATAAGGTTAATATGCTAAATGCCCAACCATTCAACCTGCTGGAGGCTAATTCCAGCATGTCATAAATGCAAGAAGTTTCATCAAAAGGTTGATGGAACCTTGAGGCTTCAGCAGGGTTGAATCATATGTTATTACCTACTAGAATGGCCGAAGGCATTTCCCCAAACCTGAAAAGGATGCATAAATGACTGCTTGCTGCCAGTTAGCTGAGGGCATTTTAATCTTCATGTTATTGCCTCCTGCTGGCCAAACACCTGTACAGCCAAAGGCAGTTCCCCCAAAACAGACAATGCCTACTGTATACTAAACCTTAACCTTTAATATGTATATATGCTTTGCCTTAGGACAATTTGTGTTAATAAAGAGTAAGGGGTCCGGAGATTCGGAAGAACTTGGTTACTGAAGATAACCATGGCTCCCCATGGATTACAAATTTATATTTTATTTCTAGTCTCTTTATCAATATACACGCAGCACCTTCTCCAGATTCCTGGACCCTTCCAGATGCTGGGAAAGACCCCCAGCATTACCAACCAGTCACTATGACGTGCACTGACCACCAGGGGGCAGACGCTCAATGCAGGAGCTGCCGTGATGTGCACTGGCCATTTACAGAGAAACAGCACTGTGGATCTGGTGCCCACAAAGCAACACTCGGCTTTCCCCAAGTGGGACGCAGGCCCCACCAGCACCCTGGAGCGGCACCCCACCAAATCGCAGCCAACACTGCCAAGACCCTATGGTGCAAAATGCGGCCCACAGCCCAGCCCAGCCCAGAAATGGTGGCTGTGGGCACCGGGTAATGATGTCACATAGCAATGCCCAGCTTCCTCTCCCTAGCGACTAGCCTCCTTGCAGTTTTTTCAGCCCAGAAACACGACTTGATTTATAGCCAGGAGCATTTTATACCTTAACCAAATGTCTGTGAAGCATTTTTCCTGTGCCTTATCTCATTTGATCCTCACAGAAGTCCTGGAGTAGGTAGATAGGAGACTCAGTGGAACCCTGTTTTCTTTTCATTAGCAGGAAAATGGAGATTTAGAAACTTGACCCGACTGAAAAGAAATGGTGGACCTTGAAAATGACTTCAGGTTTTCTCACTGTGCAGAATATAGTCAAACATTGCTGCAGTTAAA